GTGCTGCAGCAGCATGATTTGTGCTATATCACAACTCGGTCGGAGTGGGGATGTAGGAATTGCAATCTCACAGCCAGGACTGAACTCACTCTGAAAGGATTTCGCACTGGTGCTAGCCGCAGGTGTGAGCCGACGGCGATCCAGCAGTTGAGAGCGTCCGATTTCTTTCAGCAGCTGAGCGGGACTGAGGTCATCTCTGAGTCCACGCCTGCTGCTCTTGTTGCCGTGGAACTGGCCAGTGAGACCCTGGGTCCTCCCCTGACCTCCTCCTCGTCGGCCTGTGGGGACCTGGGGCCGCCTCCCCTGCCTCCTGGGACCTCTCTGGACTCCAGGGGCCCTGGCCATGGTGTGCATGCGGATGGCCTCGTTGCTTTCCGTGAACCTGACCGCAGGCCAATTCAGCAGGGCCGTGTAATAATATGCCAGAGCTGCGCTTGTTTCGTTATCTTGTCCGATGGGAGATGCAGGGGTCTCGCGAAGCGTTGCCCGCCCCCCCCGCCCCAGGAGCAAAATGCAGCGTGCCGCGCGCGATTGCATTTCCCTCTTGGTGGAGGGGGGGAAGCACCCTCGGGCGGGTGAATATTTGCCCGAGCCCCGACTCCCCTGTTTCCCTGGACCTGGGGGCTTTGCACAGTCTGCTCCCGGCCAGGATGAGCCAGCCAGTGCTGTCGCGCGTCGGGTGCTCGCTGCGCTGCGCCTCGAGGAGGCAGGGGTGGAGGCTGGAGGCTGTGGGCGTTGGCTCGGGGGGGGGGGGGGGGTCAGACTAAGGTGGCTGCGACGCCTTTGCCGCCTGCAATGTAGCTGCGGAGGTACCAGGCCAATTGGCCCAGCGCCTCGTGCGGTCGCTCTCTGCGGTCACGTCCGCGCGACTCGCTGCCTCTCGGCGCCTGGCGCGTTTGTGCAGAGCATGTCTGGCTCTGCTACTCGAGCTGCGGGGTGGGCACCTCTGCCCACCCCTCGGCGATCTCCCTTCTCGGCCGCAGTTATCGATTCGACCGCTACTGCACCGCTGGTGCTCTGTTACCCCCCCTCATCCCCTCTCCTCTGTCCCTCTCCTCTCCAATCCTCTCCACTGCTCTCCTCTCCTCCCCTATCCTTTCATATTTTCTCCATTGCTCCTCTCCTCCCCTCTCC